GGCATAAAAAATAACAGAAAGATTGCATTTTGTGTATATTTTACACTATATTTTTATGTAACATAAAATATTTTTTATGGTGATTACATATTTTTTTACATTCTTTTATTACATATAAAATAAGACAAAAATTTACGAAACATAAAATTACGGTGCATTGATGTTAAAATAGAGGGGGTGAAGAATAACTATTCCTCACCCAGGGTGACGAATAGTCAATCTCTCTCTCTCTCTCTCTCTATCTATCTACATATATATATATATATATATATATATATATATATATATATATATATATATAAAATCTATCCTACCACCCGGTGGTAGTTACCCCATATGTCTCATATACTACCATGTGGTACTATATATACTATTTTATCATTTTAAATATATTCTTATATTATATCTAAGATGTTTCAAAGCAAGTTACATGAAAAAATTACATATGTACTCATAGTTTTTGTTATATTTATGAAATACGTACATATTTGTACGTAAAAAAGAGCACATTCAAAACATGATATATACTACCTAAAAATTAATATATATATATATATATATATATATATATATATATATATATATATATATATATACTATATAATCATTGTTATATACTACATACTACACGTACATACTCTTAATTTTGACAGATACTACATACAACATACAAAACGCAAGTGGTGGTAACTACCACTGCTTGTAGGAAACATTTGTCATATATATATATGTGTATATAGGGATTGACTATTCGTCACCCTGGATGAGGAATTGTTATTCTTCACCCACCTTTATTTTAACATCTATGCACCGTAATTTTACGTTTCGTAAATTTTGTCTTATATTAGACATAAAAAGAGAACGTAAGAAAACCTATACTCATCGTAATTTTTTTTTATTTTACGTAAAATTACAAATGTAAAAACATAGTGTAAAATGTACATAAAATATAATTTTTGACCTATATTTTTTTGTTATGCCAAATTTTATGGAGTAAATTAATATGAATGTAACTATTTCTATTTCAAATGTAATTTATTTATGAAACGATCGTAATATTACCTCGGGTGAAGAATAACTTATTCTGCACCCTAAGTGATGAATAGTAACACTATATATATATATATATATATATATACAAAAATAAAGCAAAAATGGGAACAGAAAACAGGAAAAAAAACAGGCCATGGCCTCCCGCGCGGCTGAGCCAGCCCCATCTGCCCCCCCCCCCATTTTCAAATATTTGTTAAACATTTTTAATACTTATTCAATATTTTCAAATAATTGTTCAATATTTTTCATAAACTCGTTCTACAATTTTTAATCCTTATTCAACATTTGTCGAATACTTGTTCAACATTTTTAGTACTTATTCAAAAAAAAACTACATGTTCAACATATTTTCAAATACTTGTTCAACATTTATTTAATACTTACTCAACATCTTTCAGCTACT